CCCCCCCCCCCCCCCCCCCCCCGCCCCGGGGAATCAGTTAGCAAATAAAGAGGAGCAGCAAGCAGACAACCAATTGAGTGATTATCAGAAAGCAAAGGGGAAAAAAAATAAGAAGCGCAAATTGCAGTGATCGATGGTAATACCTCTAGGTGTTTTTGTTGAAGGACAAGTAGTTCACCACTGGCACCAGAGGAACCATTCTTTTTCCATATTCCTTCACCCTTTCCACCACAGATGCAAAAATTGGAAATATCACTTGATACTAGACTGGTCCTTTTACAAAGGTACTTTGTTATGGCTTTGAGGAGTTCAGATTTTGACAGATGAACACAGTCAGTATACAGAATTTTCTTCAAAAATAATCCAAGCTGCAGGTTACAAAAAGAAGTTTTTACATCATTAAGTTGCAGGTATTGCAAATATACTCTATTACTAGACTTAACTGGAAGCAATTACTGAATTACACAAGGCAGAATAAACCATCATTGCCATTACCTGGGTGCTTTGAGAAATCAACAATTCTGAGAAATCCTTAACTACTTTCCTGAACACAACATCAATGACCTACATATTGCCATACTTAAACTGCATTAGTGGTAGACGAGTTTGAAAATAAATAAAAATTGACATAGTGAAAATATGATAAAAGTATGACTAACTTCATGCACAAAAGAACAGAACTAGGACAAAATGCAACAAAAAAGTGTCTCTTCACTTGTACTGGGTGGAGAACACAAGGTGGCTAGCAGCGCTTTAGACTCAGTACCAACAATTAATATTAATAAACAAGCTCCAGAGTAGAATTTCTAAAATCAAGACATAAAACAATATTGGGCACCATGTAAGCGGCCTTTGATTGTACTCATGAATCTGGATCACTGATCTGATGTTAGCTGTGCAGCTATGTTCTTTACATTGATGATTCTTACAGAATAAAAATGCATTCTCTTCCTTCTCTTGAAAAGTTTTAAGTTCCATTTATCTTACCAAAAAGTTTCCAAAATTGAATTAAAAAATTCATTGACAAAGATTATTTCAAATATCCTATATGAACAGAAAACATTAAACGCAATCAGTTACTCTAGTCTATTTGTGAACATCTGAATGCAATATATTCAAAACATCTTTTCCCTTTGAAATGACACGTCTTTTTGCATTATTATTTATTTACAGTGGCTGATTTTTCCATTAAGAAAGAAACCATCTATGTTCAGCCCAGAATAAGAAGCAATGATGTTTTGCATACGTGGACTTATCTATCTATAAAATATGAGTTAAACTAGCTCATGACCCCAACATTAGATAATAATTCCATTGTCCGAAAAAATTATATTAACCAAGATCATGATTGTTGGCATCAGCTAACAAGAAACTTGAGGTCATGCATTAAACAGAATTATCTTAATTCTTACCTACCATTGGACTTAAGGGCAAGTTGTCAAACTCAATGCTTTCTCTCAGAAAACCCTGTAGAAGACCAAGACTAAAATGATCAAAAATGAAGGTGAGTACATTGGCTGCCTTGGATTCCTCAAGTGAAATCTCGGTAGAAATCTGGAGGAACTCCATTAATTGTTCATATTGTGATGAATCAGAATCGTCTAGTGATTCATCAGCACTTTCACTTCCGACTAAAGAAGATTGTGATTCCTTTGGGCAGGCTGTAATTCTAACAGTTCCGCCATATCTCCACACTCCGATTCCTCCAGATTGCTTCCATTCATGATATCCTTTCAAACAAAGAATGCAATCCACAACTTTGCTTGATGATCCTCCCTAATAATTGAAATATTATTCAAGTTAACGATGCCAACTTTATATTTATAGATAAATAATGATTTTCAAATGCTATGAAGCTTCCACCTTTTCAAGATCAGATGCTTCAAAAGTGAGGAGTTTCATTTTGCCAACTGCAACAAGAAAATTCCTCATGTTCTCGAAATATTGAATAGCGGATTGAGCTGCACCCTCTGTGGCCTGTACATCTAGCACTGGATTCTCCACCACCTAGAAAAAGGGAAAATCGATACAAACTTGAAACAAACGAGTTCAACGTATTCATGGTAATCAATGTATATAATTACTACCTTGGAAACAGCACCGGGATTGACTTTGTTGAGAACGTTGCAAAGAACAAGGCCATTGCGGAGTGCCAAACAGAATTCTTCCTCGGCGGGTTCTTTTGGTAGCACCCCAGATGCACCGTAGTCCATCTGCCGTAGCCATTGCGCCGCCTGGTACCTCCTTGCAGCTGAAATACGGAAGACCAGTTACACCTCTCGTGCATTAAAATTTATTTTTTCTATTCATTCAAAGTGAAATCATAATTTTAATTATATTAGCATCTCCAGAAAGCACTCTATTTGTAAAAGGCATAGCATCTACAGTAAAAAAAAAAAAAAAATATATATATATATATAACACTTAACTTTTTTATTCTCAAAATATTTATTATTTTTCTTTATCTTTTATTTTCATAGCCTTTCCTCTAAACTATTAGAGAGCCCGTACGCATTAATGTAAAAAATGAGAATGAAAAATATAGTCGTTATGAATTTCACACAAGTTATAGAAATTCAAATTTGATGACTTGATGTGATGAATAACGGTCATATTTTTCATTTTAATGAAGAAAAAATGGGAAACAAACGAAGACATAATATTTTTCTTCATTAAAAATTGAAATATTTATAAAGAGAATCAAACCTCATGCTCTGAATTGAAATGCTAATTTAAAGAGTAGCATAATTTTATGATTTAACCATTTAAACTGATATAGTTTAAACAGTCTCTCAAAGATACACACTCTCGACTCATCATTCATTTTAAAGTTACCAATAATTTTGATGAGCTTGACAAGAATTTCAAAAGAACGAGATTTTTAATGTTATGTCCCGTTTGAACTACATTAATATAAAAATGAGAATGAAAAATATAGTCGCTATGGACCCCACACAAAAGATAGAAAGTCAAATATGATAGCGTAATGTGATGAATAACGATCATATTTTTTATTTTAATGAACAAATAATGAAAAACAAACGGGGCCATAATGTCTTTTGCGTGATTTTTTTTAAATCTTGAAGTTTGTCATTTTAAAAAATGAATCTTCTTATCAACGGCTCATAAGTCGCAACTCAAATGACACGGATCGAAATTATTAGCCGTCGATTATCAAAGAATCTAACGATAAAAAAAATCCCCAATCCCAGACGATTCGCTTATATATAAATTCCCATTCTAAACAACAGTGAAATCAGATTAATCATTGACTAATTATCTTCTTAATTTCCATTTCTCCCATTGAAACAGAGGAAAAATGTCTGGAAGGGGAAAAGGAGGCAAGGGTTTGGGAAAGGGTGGAGCCAAGAGGCACAGGAAGGTGCTCAGGGACAACATCCAGGGCATCACAAAGCCGGCGATTCGCCGCCTGGCTCGCCGTGGCGGAGTGAAGCGTATCAGCGGGCTCATCTACGAGGAGACTCGCGGCGTCCTCAAGATCTTTCTCGAGAACGTCATTCGTGATGCTGTCACTTACACTGAACATGCTCGCCGCAAAACCGTGACGGCGATGGACGTCGTTTACGCGCTCAAGAGGCAAGGCCGCACTCTTTACGGCTTCGGAGGATAAAAGATTTTAGCAGTAGGGTTGGAAAATTAGGTTTTTCGTTACTCTCGAAATGTTGTATAAATTGGCTTTCTTTTTGTTGTTAGGATTTTGTATTGGAATCAATTAGAGATCTGTAGTGGATCGTTAAGCTGTTTGTGATTCAGATGGTTTTTCCTTAATCTCACATTTGATATTTCTGTGTTTGCATCAGGTTTTCAAATTTTTGCTGTTTAGATTAAAATATTAGGGGGTGTTCTCTTTGTGTTTCAGTTTTGTGTTTTGAGTTTTGAATTCATTTTGAGTTTTGTATTTAGAGTTTTTGATTTGAAATTCTTGAAAATGCGTTCTTTTTGTTAGTTTCTCAAAACAAAAAAAATAATTTTTTTTTTTAGAATTTTGAGAATCACCACAACATCACCTCAAAACACCAAAAAAAAAAAAAAAAATTAATTTTTATTTTT